TATATATATTATATTATAGTGTCATCAAGGATCAAATTTGGATAATGTTTGCATGATTTGATCTTGAGTTTAAATAGTTAATTACTTGTCTTTAATTCTTTAATTTTTTCAAGATATATATACAAATCTTTAAAATATATTTTGTTTCTTCTAACAAAGTCTCTTTATATGTAGTCAAGAATTAAACTCTTAATAATAATATATTTTAATTTCATCTTAATTGATTCTTAATCTTTATGTTGTTAACAAATAAATTTATAAATTTAAATTTTGTTATAATTGATTTTTAAATTTTGTTATAATTCTTATTATTTACCCCTTATTGTAAATAGTCTCTTATATTATATTAGAATTAAATTACCAAGAGGGAAGAAATATCAACTATCTATGTATTTTAATCAATAATTTATTAGTTTAATTTTTACAAATCATTTTCTATATATTAAATAATTATCATATTTATAATTAAAAATAAAATAAAGAATTTAAATTGTTATTTATTTATTTATTATTATTTTCTTTCTAAATTCACATTTTTATTACTTTTGAATATATCTCGTGACAAAAGAAGAAACATATTAATGAATTTTTGACATTTAAAAAAAATAATTTAACTCTAAATTTGTTAAAAGAAATATTTGCAAAACATTATTTTTAAATATAATTAATAAAATTAAAGTTGAAGGTGTTTATGAAATAAATTTACAAATAAAATAAAGTTTAAAATAAGTCAATTAAGATGGAATTAAAATTTAAAATATCTATTTATATAAAAAATAAAGTTTAAGTGAGTTGGAAACAATTTCTCCTAATATTGAATTGATTTTCTCCTCATCCTTGTGAATAATAGAAATTACAGTCAACCTCACACTTGATACTTTATATATATTTGACTTAAATGCGTTTTTATCTTTAAAGAATAGTAATTATGAAATTTTAGTTTTTCAAATTTTTATTTAACAATTTTAGTTTTTTAAGTTTTGTAGTTGTACAATTTTACTTACTTAATTTTTAATTGAAGAATTTTAGTCTCTTAAGTTTTGTAATAGTACAATTTTGATCGCTCAATTTTTAATTGAGCTATTTTAGCTCTTTAAATACTGTAATTGTGAGATTTTAATCTCTCAAGTATTATAAATATAAAAACTTTTACCTATTTAAGTTACATATATTAAAATTTTTAATAATAATAAATATATATCATTTAATACATGAATAAAAATTAACATATATAATTTAAATAGGTTAAAAATTGTATAATTATGATATTCGAGCGGTTAAATTATAAAATTGTGATTCTTGAGAAACTAAAATTACTTAATTAAAATTTGAGACCAAAATCATACAAAATTATAATACTCAAGAGACTAAAATTGCTCAATTAGAATTTTAGAAATCAAAATCCCATAATTGTAATTTTTGAGAAATAAAAATGCAATTAAACCTATATTGTTATATGAAAAAGAAATCAAAGAAATGAATTTTTTAATATAGGGTTCACTTAAAAAAAATAAAGTATAAATATAATCGTTAACTTAAAATTAAATATTAAAAATAATTTATATCATAAAAATAATGGCAAATTATTTTTTTTAAAATTAATTTTTATATAATTTATAAACTGGTCTAGTAGTTTAGAATGAAGTGAAGGAGTGATAAAGTATCGTTGTGGCTTGGAATCCTTCTAAGGTCAACTAACATAAGATACTAATTATTAATATATGTCTTTAAAAACTAATATGTAGAGAGAAATTTTAATTGTTATCTTTTTTATTTCTCTATATCTAAGAAACATATTTTTCTATTTAAATAGTTTACAAGAAATAATACTCACACAATCTCTAAACTTATTAGAAATCATAATATTAATCGAGTGAATTTCACGTTATATTAAATTAAGTTCGGCCTAAGATAAGACAACTAAAATTTAAGTTTATGACCCACTAATAACAAAAAAAGCTACTTAATATTAATTTTTATAAAATTTAAAAAATCACATATGTTAATAAAAAAAGTATCACGTGTTAAATGAAATTAACATATACCTTTCTTATTTAAATAAAGAAATTCTATTAAAATTTAATTTTTCCTCACCTTTGAACTAACTCTGACTGAATGATTATTAGGGATGGTAATGGGGTCTCATGGGGGCGAGTAATAGTAAACCCGTTCCTGCCCTGCTGAATAAAAATTGGTCCCATACCCATCCCATATCCACGCGGGTATCCATGAATTTCTTGAATACCCACGGATATTCATGAATATTTATAAATTTTTAAAAAAATTAAAAAATTATATTACAAATAATTTTAAAGTTTATATTTAATGTCATTAAAATATTAAAAATAAAAATTTAATATTAATTTTGAACTTGTATTTAACGTTAATTTTGTTGAAATAATAATAAAAATGCAAGATAATTAATAACTTAAAATACATCAATCTCACACAAGTAAGTGAAAGTCTCATATCACAAAGTT